ATAACATTAGTCCCTTTTACAACAAAAGTCCAAACCATTGTGATTTGATCATTCTACATGTATCTGTTATTTTGTTAATACGTTTTTGCTTGTGGTGTTCTTTTTATTATAATATTATTTTATCTAATTTGCCACTGTCACTCAGTTTTTTAAGTAATATTAAAACACCAGAAAGAAAGTGCTTATTTTATATGTCCCATGGTTTCTTTGGGCTCCCTTGTCATTTCTTTCAAAAGTAATACCAGCCTATGCTGCGTTTGCAGTTCTATGGTGGAAAAAAAACCCTTATCTAGAAAATAACACTGACTAATAATTACTGGTTGTAGTCTAATGTAAATCTGTGCAGAAAGAGCTGTTGTACCTTCAGGTTTTCAGGCTCCTGCAGGGTTTTTCTATTTGTGGACTGTCTTTTAGCAGAATATGGTGCAGGAGAAGAAGCAACGTCATCATCAGCTCTTGCTAGTTTCTTTAGACTTTTCTGTTTACAATCCTCTGCTGTAGAGACAAGTAGTGCTGCAAACTTGAAAAAATTAATTAAATTTAATATTTTAAACTTTGGATTTTTTTATTGTTTTGTTTCTTTAATGATGATGAACAGGAATCTATGAGGTTACTGTATGATAAAAGAGGTAAAGTTTGTACTTGAGCCTATTGGTACACCCAGCTGGAGTTTATCCCAGTTTCTTAAGCATGAAGCAACAAATAGTATCACTACTACCTGACCCCCTGGCTGGGATGCAAGGTTTTGTACCCCCCAGCATTTCATCAGGCTTCCCTGACAATCTCCCTGTACCTATTTATACTCCTGGGCTCAGTTGTTTGAAGGTCGATTAGCACTAACCCAAGGTTAAATTTAGATCTGGGTTTCTTTATTCCTTTATTCAAATGCCTTTTTAGGATAATTTCCTGTGTTCTTATTAGAGCATCAAATAGTCATATTCCAGACAAAAAGAATTTGACTGAATTTTGTTTTAAAGTTATTAGATCTGAAATCAGATTTCACACTAACCCTGGGTTATCCTAACCCAGCTTTGAACAACGCAGCCCTGGATGGAAAGAGGTCCTGTGGGAGTAAAGCCTTTTGCCCAAGAACACAACACAACACTTTGACCCACCCAGGTCTCGCACCTAAACTTCTTGACCCTATTTTAAAAGCTGTGACATTAATTTAATGAGATATTTCAAAAATTGTCTAAATTCCTAGTAGGAAGTTTTTACTTAACTATAAAAGAAAAAGCAAGCATTATGTAAAAGAATTCAATTACAAATTGTAAGCACAAACCTCATTATAATCCAGCTTTCCATCATTGTTTACATCAGCATCATCTAGAATTGCTTGCACCTCAGATTTAGTCATACGTTCTCCTTGCTGTTAGGATAACAAAACTTAACCATTAATGAATAAAAGCAACCAGAAAACAAAAACTATTGCAATATAATAGATATTCAAAGCACAAAGTAAGATAAACATATGTAATCAATTTGTTAGGGTTCAAATAAGAAACATTGGGAATTATGGATCCAATTCTTTGTACTTTATTTTGTGGTTATCACCACACTGGACAGGACTTTTCATTGCACAAGGTTCAATAAAGTCCTACACCACTGCCATGAGGAGGCATGTGGAGTAGTTTTTTTTGTAACATATTAACACCTGAGTCTCTTCCATTCGAGAGGAAACATTCTTGGAACCATTCTTGGAACCACCCCCCCCCCCCCCCCCCCCCCTCTACCCCCTTTGCCCTTGTGACACTCTTGGCTTAATCCATTCCACTTCCCAATTTTCCTGGATGTGTGGTAGACATTTCCTCCAGAGCCAGTTCTGAAATTCTGGTCTGAAATCAAGTGAGTTAACCCTTTTGCTCCCAAGATCTTATTGGTAATTCTCCTTTCTTTCTCACATACAATTCTGATTTTTGATGTGAGTTTGTAGAATTCAGTATTGGGTCAACTAACAATCCCCTAATTAATATTTTTCTTTAATCTCATCATATTTCTCCTTGATGTTGTAAGGAGAAATTCTATCTTGGTCACTCATGGGAGTTAAAGGGTTTTAATCTAATTTCATGATAATTTCCTTTACCTTTCTTTGTGATAATGTATTGATCTTGTAAGGAGAAATTACCTTCTGATCAATATTGTGAGTGAAAGGGATTTATATATCTAAGAAAGCAGGAGAACATTTGTACCTTAGTCAAAAGTCTAAACAATTCATCATGTGTTATGAATCCATCGCCATTAGTATCAATACATTTGAATGCTTTCAGCATAGAGTCCTTGTCAAGAGGCTTCTCTTTCCTCATAATGTCACAGAAATCATTGTAAGATATACAGTCTGTAAAAAGAAAGTAAATGTAAGTAAAAGACTTTTATTTATAGTTAATTTGTTATCATTTGTTAAGCAATTACGAAAAGAAAAGCCTGGAAAAATTAAGGCTTTGGGATTTTACAAAGAAATTGTGATCAGATTCCTTTAAGGGAAAGATAAAACCTTTAAAATTTGCATTGCTCCCAACATATGGCCTCACAGCTCAGTTGGTAGTAGCCCCCAACTAGTATCTGGGAGGCAGGGCTTCAAATAACAACGAAGCCTAAACATTTTTAGGCCTCTCTTCTGCAACTATTCTAAACCTTTTTTCCCATTTAACCACTTTCTGAACTTCATGTGATGTACTTGACGTTATTAAATTGTATGACATAATTTATAAAGATTTCTGAGAGCTTCATTTCCTGACATTCACTATAAAAAGGTCATACTTAAACAGGGTTTGTACCCTTTTTCAGAAACAAATTTCAAGGACTTTTCCGAGACTTTACCAGGACTCTGACTTTATCCAGGACTCCAGATTTCACCTTAAACCCCATAATTTTCGATTCTGCTTATCACTGTCTACATAAATTTCCTATAAGATAAACATAAATTCTAAAAACTTTATTGCTTGATTGAAGTAGATTTCCAGGATCTTCCAGTGAATTTTAGTCTTTTCTTATTTTTCTGGAGAATGTCAAAATAAAATTCCAGGTTTTCCAGGACATGTATGAACCCTGTTAAAGGGGAAATACTATTTAACATAATCCCTTAACCTTTTTAGTAATGTAATCAATTTTAAGAAGAGCCTTAGTATTCCAACCTGTATCATGCTTCCAATATTTTTCAGCAAACTTCCGAGAAGGATTCCTTCCACCAAATTGAAGTGCTAGCCAAGACAGACAATGAAACACTCCTTGCCATAAGTGTATTCCACAAGTCATTTACAGTATATTTAGTATCTTAGCTCTTTAACCCTTTCACTCCCACAAGTGACCAAGACAGAATTTCTCCTTACAATATCAATACAATATCAAGCAGGCAGGTGATGAGAATAGAGAAGAATGTCAATCATGGGATGATTAGTTGATCCAATACCAAATTCTCTGAACTAACATCATAAGAATTGTATGGCAGATAGTACAGAGAATTACTAATTAGATCTTGGGAGTGAAAGGGTTAACTCTCAAGATCTGATTGTTAATTCTCCCTTCTAGCTGCTTTACTTTTCCTTGTAAATGAATTACAAGACTTTGGTGTTAGATCAAGACAACAACTTTTACCTGATAAGTTTGACAAGTTTGCAGCAAAATGGGATTGTAATTAGTACCCAAATCTTTACCATTTGGCCCCCCAAGAATGACTAGCCATTAATTTCCCCTTACAATATATCACCCCTGAATCATACATTAAGGTCACAAGGATAAGGGAAATGATCACTGACTACGGCTTGAGGTAAGCTATATTAATTGCTTAAAGACTATTTCTGATGTGGAACAAAAAACTTTTCAGTGGAACAAAGTGACTGTTTTATGGTATGAAGCGACTTTGAATTGGAACGAAGTGACGTAGAACGAAACGACCATGGGACGAAACGACCGGATACCTTCTTAATCACGCCTTATCATTTGTTGGTAAACTTACGCCACCAACTCGCCCTCCCCTCCCCCCTAATAAAAACAAATCTCACCACTCCCTCGAGCTGTGATTAGTTACATAGTTCCATCTGCTTACAGTCTATGTTTTCTTACCTAGGATCAATTCATCAATGGATGTAATCTTTTCTGTAGTGCTACTTAAAACAGCCAGGTAAGCGGCACGGCATTCCTTCATAAAATTATCAAATTTTGCAGTCGATTCTCTTCGAACCTTCTCCGAGAACGACACGTTTGATGCTCGCGATGAAATGCTCGAATTAGACGACCTACGAGCCGGTTTTACTCGCTTTATCTCTGACATTCCTGTAAGAAACTTTCTAAAGTCCTTTCTGGCTAAATTGTTTTGCCTGCATGATGTATGGAGCCGTTACCATAGAGTGCGCCATCTTTGCTTTCTTAACCGTCACGCATACAACTGCTGACCAATACTACCGCGGTCCCAAGGCTAGAAGGATCGAGAAAATTAGAAATTGCGAGTTTTTGAGGGAATCTCTGAGCGGGCCTGACACTTTCTATACCCGAGATAATTGAACAAAATAAAACTCATTGGCCCAATCGTGGGCTTTTCTGATTTGACGATAGGACACATCTGCATTATTGAATAAATTTTGCAACATTGTTTACATCGCAAATGCATGTCTTTCCGGATCTATTCAAATTGATCTTGAATGTTCTAACCAATTGTCTGCTGTCTACTGTTATACTGCACCGTTGTTTTGTGATTCATATAATATTCTTTGGCAGCTACGTCACATGAGTTTTTTTCAATGCAAAAATTTTATCTCAAAAATAACTCCGTTTTCAAAAGGACCTACGTGTACGTTAGATTATTCAAAGATAAAGGAAACTCGCCAGACGAAAAAAAAACAAACACCGAAAGCGTAATTATAGACCATAAAAGAGCGAAGATGGATAAGGACACGAAAATTCCCAGGGATTGCGGTAAAAAAAGTATTAAAATCAACTTTCGCCAAATTTCCCAACGAGAGATGCAGGAACTGCGTAGTTTATCCTCTTGACACCTCTTAAAGCGGAAAATTCATTTAAATTATCCATATAAGTCAAAATTGCCGAGTTCACAAGTGAACCTCTTTACCCCTCACCGGAAAACTTGTCATCAAAGCCAGACTTTTTCCAAAAATATCAAAGTAGTCATCCATTGTTTAATGCTACATTACAAAATTGAGACAAAGCCATTACGCTGAAATTTCTTTTTCGTATATGCTAGTTTTCATTTTTCGGTTATTTTTGGCATTGGTTGGGAAAATTTTGAAAGGATGCCATAGGCGGAAATTGGTCTAGAAGGTAACCTTCTTAAGTAACATCAGCAACGCAAAGGGCACCATGCTATTTGTCAAGTGTCAGTACGTGACTCGCGGAATATCGTTTGAAAACTCGCCTATTTATGGTCAATCAGGTATAACAATAAAACTGACACGATGTTTTCAATCTAAACAATCTTGAAGAAAAGGTTAGTGTGGGAGCAGTTATAATTTGTTGACAAGGTTGAGTGAGTGCAAGTCGATCCAACCTTGTTTGAAAGACTGGAAAATAAATACAATGTTGTGTACAACTTGCTACTTGTGTTGTGGTAGGGTCCGCTGATACAATACTTGTTGATTGTATTGAGAGACAAACGGTTGAAAAGTTATCATGATCATTACACTGAATGAATATAGCTTGTTTTCCGCATTTGAAATGCTGGGGGTGGACATTTTAACGGATTGCCGAAGTGTTTTCTAGATAATTCTCATTCCTGAAGTTCTGTAACGCATCAATTCTTGGTTTCTAATCGTATGTTTTATAATATTTGCGATTTTTGTGGTTTTATCAGCGATTTGTAACAAAATATATCTTACTTATAATTCCAATAAAAACCCGAAGGGATTCATTTTTCACAAAAATTCTTAGCACTTGTTAGATTCCTGATAGGAATATTTATAACAGAGAGTAAATATCTGCTCTATTAAAATAGCAAGATTTTTTTTTTAATCAGATGAATGGAGATGAATTATGAAACATGCTACTTATTCAAATCATCACTTGCGAAAACTATAAAACGTCGTCAGATGCTTTTTAAGGAAATTAATATTCCTTTCTTTTCAACGTAACTACGATAAACGTCCTTGAATAGTTAAATCTCTACTACGGTTTATGGCGGAAAATTCCCACTTTGGCAACATGCCGCTCGGTGAACAAATTCCTCTCCTAAGTCCAACATTAAATCCACTCATAATAGTTTTCCAATTGTCACAAATGTTCAGCAAACAAATTGACTTCAAATTATGAACAAACATGATCTTCTCATGACCAAGTGAAATTTCCGTATATCGCAAAGTCCATTACAAATTGTGTGTATAATTACAAAGTTCGATATTGAATTTATAAATTCGTAATTTTTTTCTAAATCGTTAGCGTCGAGTTTGAATGATGTCAGGACCTAGAAACTCTAACAATTCTTAGTATGTAAACATCGAAAATTGCGAAATGAGCGCTTCGACGAAATCAAAACAACGTCAAAAAAAAACATCACGCTAAATTGTTGCTATCTGTTAGGGGTATGTGAACACGATGCAGTGTGATTTGTTTCACTAGCGTTAAGTTTGCTTTCTTCCACGTTCGATTACCATTGGTTTTTCTTTCGTTTCGATTCACATCTAATAATAAGTTTGACAAAAATATACGGCGACTTCATGAATAAACAGTATGAATGATATAAGCGTTTGATACCAAACGCTGCAAGAAGGGGAATTGATTTTATTTCCCACAAAGCACACACTGTAAGAATTATGCCTGTAAGATGTCTAACATGTCTGAATGATGCAGAGATCGTGCCAGCTTTTATACTAGGAAGCTCAGATGCTATTTTTGTCATGTCCATAAATGGTGTGAAATATCCCGTATTGGTTCCTCTTGATCGATTGTATGATTGAATAAAAACTACAGCCAATGAAATGGCAGTTAAAATAGGCAAGTGACTCGCTATGAGAAACCGCTTATATCTTCGTGTGCAGTGAACCAAGAAATGGTAACGTGCAAGCATAGTTGAGTTCAAAATGTCCACCGTTGTCGATCCTTTGCTTTCAACGGTTACCTTGGATTTATTGCGTCCGAAGGAGACATTTGGAAACCCTGAAGAACATTTTAGAAAGGTAAGTGTGTATAGCGTCGAGCAGGTTTAAGCAGAGCGCTGTTAGCGTGATTTGTTATCAGTAGTATGTTACAGCAGTTAGTCAGTTTCATACCGAGTTGGAATTTCTGTGAGACGAAACTAACCAAATGGAACATTTTTAATGTTCTGTTTTCAGCAATGGTTTGACATCGACAGCTTGAATTTTTCGCAGTTCAGTAGTAAGGTGGATATTTTCGATGACAGCGGCGCATTTGACTCCGAGAGCTCATTGGATTCAGACTACGAGCTAAATTACAACGAGAAATATTTCTGTCAGGAAGATCTGATCGAAAGCAAGCTGAAAGATACTGCCCTGTTGTACGAATTGCCTTACCAACAGGATGACATTTCTTTGGAGTTACGAGCAGCTAGTCCGGATGATTTATCAAGCTGCAGCCCTACTACTAGTGAGTCGTCTTCGGACATTGAAGTCCAGCTCGATTCCGTCGAGCAGACGGATCTCACGTGCAGTGATGTGGAAATGAAACCCGTCTGTGCTGCTAAAACAACGACTGTGAAACAAACTTCAGAGGGAACGCAAACTGACAACGATGAAGGTTTCGCGGAATCGATGAAATCTGATTCTTTGACCAAACTGGGGAAGCCAAAATTGACGATCGAAAGTTCTACAGCCATCTCTGGGTCGCCAAAGGCCAACTCGAATACATTAAAAGGAATTAACACTTCAGATGCAAATGATGCGAAAGATTCCTCAGAATCTACTCCAGTGCAACTACCAAAAGGAAAGAAAACATTAGCAAGGACTCATAAATGTACATTCGAAGGTTGTAATAAATCTTATACTAAGAGCTCGCATCTCAAAGCTCATCAAAGAACACATACTGGAGAAAAACCTTACCAGTGTAACTGGAAGGATTGCGGTTGGCGTTTCGCAAGATCTGATGAGCTTACAAGGCATTATCGAAAGCACACCGGAATAAAGCCGTTTAAATGCACCACATGCGATCGAAGCTTCTCTCGATCAGATCATTTGTCGCTTCACATGAAGCGTCATTACTAACGAATTCTTAAGGCCTCATTGCAAGACAGTGAACCTTGCTAGAATATTCCAAGCTCGGTTTTTAAACGTAGAGCTGTAACATAAAAAAAAAGATCTGTACTAAGATATGTTCTAGTGATATCGTATGTACAATTTATACATTATAGACAATATTCCACAACATGAAGACTGTGAACGACCAGGTTCAACAGAATCATCAAATGGAGTAAAGAATTTAAAAGAACAAAGAGAAGAACTTATTATTAAGGTGGCAAACACCACTCCTGAACTGTGTACATTTATGTTTGAAAATGGAAATAAATGCAAAGCATTAAAATGAGATGTATTTTACAAAATGTTTGTTTCTTGTCATGACTTGTAGGTCATGTGCTTTTGAATAAACAGCAGACTAGAAGGTCACAAGTTTTTGTCGCAAAACTTATTTGAATGGTAGAAGTCAAACTAGGAGTAAGTGAGGTTGTAATAATTTTTTTTTTGGCCTGCAATAGCCAATTTTTGCGGTCAACACTGTTATTGAATGATGGACTGATGTATTAATAAGTTTGGTTTAAAAATTACTCTGTGCAGAATTTAAGGCAGGCCTTGACTCGGCTGTGCAAATATTTCAATGTTTCTCAACAGCTTACAATTAAATAGAGCAAGCTCTGAATTGTCGTGAATATTTATTCTGTTTGGGCCTGAATTTTTACAACAATGAAAATGTGGGCCGTGAAGTCAATGAAACTAGTAAGTATAATCAAAACAAACAAAACAGTTGAAAAATCAGAACTAACAAAAGTGTCATGACACACTTGTCATGGGATTTTAAGAAATGCTGTTAAGACAGGTGGGAAATGAAGAGTTTAAATTAAAGTGCAAAAAAAAAAATGGTCACTGATATCAAATAATTTTTCTAAAAATGTTATCAGCACTGATAATAGAGAAATGCCACATCTGTAATCACAAATATATCACATGTCATCTAGTTTGAAATTTGTAGGTTAATTTTAAATGAATCATAAATGTATACATGTGTTTACAATATTTTCATTATTCTTGTTCTGACAAAAAATATGGTAGCTGTTCTTTTTTGGCTTGATTATTTATGAGATTCAATGTATGCAACAGATGATCAGGAAATACTTTTGAAAGATATCTGATCATAGTCTGCACTGAGCTAAACTGGTATGGATTGCATTAAAAAATCAATCCCATGATGTGTCTCATTTTGTATTCCTCAAAAATGACCGCACTTCAGTATAAATTATTCAATTACTCAAGCCAATATTACTCCCGAACATGATTTAATGAGAATTGGTGATGACATTGGTGATGTTAATGAAAATATTGTCAAGTTTGTCTGAACCTCACACATTTACAGGCTGACGGGAGACACAAGAAGCTGATTGCATTTGCAGCAGTCAATCACTGCTTTGTGAAAAAAACATTTGGACAATTCTCTAAGAATGTGACGATTTAATTTTATTTAAATCCCGTACAGCAAAATGAATTGAAGTCGTACATGAACATTGAGCATTACAATCCAAAGTCCCAAGTCCAATTGCCAATAATATTTTAACAGGAAGTACGTTAACAAGGAAATTTTTAATAAAGCAGATTAAAGATAACGAAGATTAAGCTGATGAGACGTATTTTTTACTTCTAGACGAGTAACGGAAATTTATTAATCAACGAAATCAAAAGAAAAGTGTGCGGCCCATATGTTTTCTGAATTTTTATGTGAAAGATTTAGTCACGCAACAAGAATGTCACGCAATATAAGTATCTGCCTTATATGACCACAAATATATCGTGTGCTCAATTTTTCGCGTCACGCAAGGAGCGACTTACGTTTTTTTTTTTTAATATTATTACAAAGAGTGACTTCCTTAGTCAGGGGGTAAAGTTGTTGCAGGCAGGGGGATGGTAAAGCGACAAAGATCTTTCGATGGGAGGGGAGGGGTTGGCTGGAGAGAGAAATACGTTAAAGAAGGATTAAAAATTTATGTTATTATATCAAACATCTCAGGCAAAGGAATGAACAAGGAAAAAAAATACTTAGAGGGAACTTTTTCCTGAGTTCGCGAGTTACTCACCACCAGCAGGTTGGTTATAGGGAGTCATGTGTTTATTACACCAAAAAAGTAAATGTCGTCAGGAGATTTCAGTGATGTGTTGTTAGTGTCATTCATGGGAAGGAGTTAAAGACGTTCCCGGTCGTTAGAATTTTCTTAGATTTGGCTGGGTTGGAATTTTAATTTTCTTTTGGACGAGGAGGGAGGGTTATAATTATTTCATATCATGAATTCTCTTGGAACTTACTTATAGCAAGCCCATAGGCACAAGCTTTGTACAAGACCCTGTGATTAGCAAATAGTAAAATCTATGAAAAACGAAAACGATACATCCAACTCTAATTATAACCAACACATTTTAACGATAACTTGGTACCTTAAAAGCTTACTTTGTATTTTATTTTTCTTGCATTCTATCAGAAGGCAGACATGCGGACCTGTTTCAGCGTGTTACATGATATAGCTGCTTTTCTGTGATTAGGACTAAGTGTTTCACTGCTGGATGACATTTAGGAAAACCGTCCACAACTATGTCTAACAATTCCTTGTAAAGCTGATAAATAAGGTTTTCATAATGATAATATCTCACTTAATTCCGAAATTTGGGTGTCTTAGTCTTTGTTAGGGAACTCTCCGCTCTTTTTACCAGTTTGTTCGTATTGAAATATTTCCTCAGGGTCAGATTTTCTCGTGAGTCAAAATATTTTACGAATGATGAGCCAGAATTTACGGTCATTTCATGGCCGATAGCTTTTAAACGGAGTTTTATCCAACTGTTTCTGATTGCATGAAAGTTTGGGAACAAACATGGCCGACTGCACTTCGATTGCCGGCAAAGGTTTCAGGCATTCTTTTGTGGGAGGGATATTCATTGTGTTATTGCATCTTCTTATTTTCAACATGCTGTCCATTGGTAATAACTGTAGATACTTCTTGTATAAAGTCTTTCGAGAATCTCGACTATCTTTGCTCGGAAAATCGGAATCTAAACCACCAGCCTTCACTGATACAACAGAAGGGTTGAAAAGTTCTCTTGTACCCAGGCCCTTTCGCGTTTTTGTTGCCAAAGGTTGTCGTAGACCTTCCATACCCTTTTCGATCTTTGATTTCCTCCTCGCCGTAAGCCTCTTCTCTAAATTACATATTTTGGCAATGGGGCTTAACACAGGCCCTGTATCAAGTAAATGTTCTCTCCTTTCCGGACGTCTACCAGGGTTACAGTTGGTGTTTACCCTCGCATTACGAGCCGTTCTGTTCAAGGGTAATTTTTTTCCCATCTCTTTATCTTGCTTATCAGGTTTTTTTGGGATCCCACGCAGTATGTGGAGATTATTGGGTGTGGAGTGTCGAGAGCTTTCTTCGTGTAAACGGCATGACAATGTGTCCATGGTCGACCTATCGCTTTGTGCTGTTTCTAACATGTTAACAGCGGATCTTGATGTGAAACTTCCACTGTATGAATGACACCAGTCTAAAATGATCGAAAGGGAACAGATGAAAATTTAAAGAGTCCTTGATAATTGAATAAGCTAGAATGAGGCCACTACCCTTACACTGCCGACAGAGGGGTTGAGGGGGGTCTCCTAATAGAGGTGGGGTAGGGATCTAGCACGTCTTATCAGCGTTGTTTATTTGATTGTCTCTGGACACTTAACTGTCACCTGCCTGAGCAAGAAAAACGCCCGTAAATAACCTAAAGTTCCTTTTACCACGCCTTCCACGATCCACGCCCGATTTCAAAATACTAGAGGGGGCCTTTCGCAATTAGAATTTTGAGAAGCTGACTAGTCAAGTGTTAGATTTCAGCATAAGAGACATTCAATTCGCTCACCAGCTCTGTTTGTAATAAGAAACATCGATCGTTCTTCATCATTAAGCCACTCGACAATTCCTTCAAAGCATGAAACAAAAAGACATTGAGATATAATAAAGTTCAGACATTATAACTTTCAAGCTGGCTTTACCCTACATAAGTAGTTTATGGTTCAAACGCCTGGTTAGGCTAGGGTCTCTAGGTTTCGTTCTCGGGGGAAAAAAACCAAGCTCTCCTCTCAAATGCCTTCAAATTCAGTTGAAACACCACGTAAACCAGTTTCAGAGGTTTGATAAAAACTTGCTTCGTGAAAGCTCTCACTCACCTCTGTATTCTACCTTCAGGATCATTTTTATAGTTCCAACAGGTAACTCAAACAGGGGAAAAATTTTGAATTACGAGCGGTAAGTTCTCGTTAATTTCTTGAAGGACAGACTGGTTTCTTTAGATCAGAAAATTATTATCCAAGCTGTACGTATATATTTCATATTTTGAGTTCCAAGAACTGAATAACATAGGGAATTATATATATTTTATTTTTTTTGCGATAATATTCTTCTGTTTCCTTATTACCCAAGTCATCATGTAGAAGCAATAACTGACTGATTTCCCAGCCACAGAGATCCTCTCCTCGTGATACAATGGAGGAATTCCTGTTAATAGAAACATAAAATACTAAAATTTCACCAATAAAACACCCTTCTTGCTAATCTCTCGTCCATAACGCTACTGAATTTAAGATTGGTACTGAAGTGCACTGCCACCGAGTGACGTTAAACCAAAATGGAAGCCAAATAAGACCTAGGAAAATATCACAAGGATAATGCCCGAGCGCTCAAAGTGAAACCAGTGCAATCCCGGAGCGCAATCTTGGTCAAGAACTGAGTTCTACAATTTGCAAAAATGGAACTGGATCTTGGTTAGGAACACAGGAAACGGGAGCAATCACTAGATTTAGTAAAAGAAAAATGCTGATGAAAATTTTCCTGTGGTAGACTGTCCAGATCAAGGGGATATGACCTTACCATTTACTACCTGTTTCGAGAAAGGGTATATTTCGTTTATGAATAAATTCATACAGAATAATTCTCATAATTACTATGCTCAGTATTTGAACGTGCTCAAGGTTCCTATTCCTGCAATCAAAAACTCCTCATATCAAACTGAGTGAGAAATTTATATCCTTCACTTCTAAGTAAATATACTGGGCATGGTGTAAAGTGTTTATAGCTAAACATGATTCCTAGTTAAGTAGGATCTTGAAATGGAGACGATGTTAAAATGGAAAGACAAACGAAGATCACGGGGAAGATAATCTTAGATTAAGACAGGTTAATATGGGTGATTTTGTGGGGCAAACAGGTTTGAGGCAGTTCTAAAAGCAGGTGTAAAGAAGAGGATTGACAAAAGGATGAAGGAAATCAGAAAATCTGTCTGACTTTTCAAGAATGGTGATAAGTTACTATGACGACCATCTGATCAGTCTGCGAATGCCGCACGAGAGTGTCAGTTTATAGAATGTTTCTACAATAAAACTGAGAAGTGAAGAACTAACGATATAAATGTTTTATGGCCTCTTTTATTCTCAAAATAATCCACCGTAATGATAATTCAAGAATGAAGGGTCCTTATCTCGTTAGAAACCTTCCCTTTCAGTGTAATTCATACCTTATCAAGCAATGGCTGATGGAAATGATATAGCAACGCGCTCGCTAAGCCAAATTAGAGGGAAAATTAAGGCCGATAGGAGGGAGAATTATTGATCAGGTCCTAGGTACGTGTTAAAGGGTTTGAATTAAACTCAGTGTTGTTTTGCTCCAGACCTACTGTGAATTACCGAGACTAAAGCTCATGAAACAGTGCATATTTTGTTATATTTAAACCTAAATATCGCTGAATGCGGTTTTTCTCTCAAGCAAGATTACAAGGGCTTGAGGCCGTTGAAAGAATATTGAATTTAAGGATAGCAAACCAAAAATGTAGAATATTTGATTATTTAAATGTCTTGGTGTTCACAAGGAAAGATCATTGCGAAGTTTTGAAAACGTCTGCTTTCTTTAGAAACACTTTACATTAGCTTTACCACAAGCAATGAAATAATTGATGTTTTGTAAAGGAAATAATTTGAAATGCATCAATTTATAGAATTAATGGATCGCCTGAGTGTATGTTCATGCAGAAGCCTTCATAAGTAAAGGTAATCAGGCACAATGTAAATTCAAGATTTTCTTATCTTCTTCCGTCATTTGAAACAAAAACATCCATTATTTAAATGTTTTCAATGAAGTCCTCAAAGTGTCTACATACAAAAATAATCTGGTTCTTGCTATTCTTAACATCCATCAACTTATTATCGCAGTACTAACCTCAAATCTTGTGCCGAAATATGTTTCGTTCTTAGGTTATCTTGATTGGTACTGTAATCTCGTTTCGTTTTATTCCTAAACGAGCACGGAGTTTCCTGCATCATGTTGCATCACGTATTCAAATTTTAAACTGATTTTTCACGGTTTATCTGTCACAGGAAATGTAATTCAAGAACGGATGGACATTCATAGTCCCCTAAAGTGTTCACTATTTACCTTTTCCACAGCAACATCCCACAACAAATTTTCAAAGGTGTCCGGAAATTGCCTAAAAATAGCTCCTAGTAAACAAAGATGAAGGCTGAAATCTGTCCAATTAGTGATTTAAAACGTGAATTGCGGTTTCGTGATTAGAATTTATCTTTATTTCACTTCCATGGTTTGTGAACAAGTGACAGTACTGTTTACACAAAACCTGCAGGGTGCCTAACTTAAGTTCTGTCTATGTACATTTGTTTGTGCTTGAGTAGCTTCGATAAATAGAAATCCTGTCATCTCTATTTTCATTACACTACGGGATTCAACGTAGCACTTTTTTCACACGCTTTTCAAAAGCTTTTAAGAACAAAACGAATTGTAATGGAGGGCTCTTACGACAATCTGATAATTATTCCTCTGGGAAAGAAACGGCTTTCACAGACTCCAACTAAGCAAATCTAATTATAATTACTATGGGATGTCTAACAAAGTTATGTTTATTTTTTCAAGTAAGTAATCTTTATTTTGTTAAAGAAAACGTTTCGTAGAGGTGAAGGAAATTAATGTTTTATGATCTAATGAACTCTCTTAAAATGAAGGGAACATTTTTTAAGCTGGGAAACTACAATTTTAAAATACACTTTGATTAGTTTTAAAAATTATTTCATTGTCTTACGGCTAACATATTTTTTCTTGAACAAAAATCTATGCCCGTCATCTGCTTCATATGCAAGCATTTCACTTTAATTAAAATCCTTTTTTTCGTACCCAGATCTCAAATGGCGAGTAAACGCTGAGAGTTATGGGTAACAAAGTATAACAAGCCATTGTAAAGGACGCCAGTAGTTGGGAACTTTCAACGGAAAGCTATAACGGTAGGCAAAAGCTAACCCGGAGAATGTAGCTAATAGTCAGTGAGATGGAAAAAAAGCGTAGGTGCGGAAACTGGGAAAAAGCAGATATAAAAACTCTGACTTGTTAGGTCGAAACCAGTTTTCGCGCGGCGTAAAACACAATTCGACGTTGAACTAAGAAAAACATCATTAACAAATTAGTTGGAGGATAAACGATGGCCGAAATATTCTTTCACAATTATGGATCGTAACTAAATAGCATAAAATCCTTAAAATAAGCTAAATTATCTCAGAGGCAAGAATGATGATAAGGGATGTCACATTCCTTAGAAAATTGTGTTTCAATTGGGTTCGAAATACGATACAGACGAACGGTATGATAAGACTAGAAGCTCCCGGAAAATTGAGTATTTTATATGGGTGTATATATTAGAACCGATTTGGGTAGAAACATTGTGGAAGAAATACTTTTTTTAACAGAAAGTTATGCGTCTTTTTAAGGATCCTTATTTAGGGTGAGGAAAGATTCGTGCACTTTGTCCAAATCCATCATACGACATCCTTCTACGCCTATCATCAAAGTCATCGGCACGTTCGTCATCAAGCCCTCTGCGCATGCCCCTGCTCTGGCTCAGACCATTTTCCTGTGTATCCCTGAATTCTCCACCGTGTGAAATTCGGTCTCGAGGCCAAGAGCCCTGTTGTACCTGATGCCTGGGTTCTCTCATTCTCATCCTGGTCAGAGTGAAGTTGAGGTTGGCGGGTTTATTAGGCAGTACTGTACATGATTTGGTTTCCTGTTCAAATCCTTTGGCCGAAACCGTGATGTCATAAGAGCCTGGTACTAGTAATCGCCAAAAGTCGCCGTCGCTCGCGGAGAACACATCATGGCGGCGATTTGAAACAGCTACTCTGGCTTCGTCCACTGGGTTACCATCTTGATCTTTAACAAAACCGTGTACACCAGTATGGACCTAATGATAAGCGAATACTTTATAAATCAACCGAGAGGTAACTCATATTGAATTCACACTAAATTAATCTATAAGGATTTTTTGTCAACCTTACTTCTGACTGACAGGCGAGCGCGAAGTTGGCTTCCGCGCTGAGCGCGTCAGAAATCTTAATTCCGTAGACAAGGTGGAATGGATTGTCAAGAGTGACATTTACGCCCCCTCTCCCCTCATTCTCTTTTAGCCTCACCCCATCTCCCTTAGTTTGCTTTGTCTCATCTCAGTTCCCTCATTATCTCTGACGGATTAAATCATACACGCTAAATTTAGCGGTAGTCTTCTCCGCAGCGATCTTTAAGCCTAAGAAAGAAAATTTATGATCACCCCCCTGGCTCTATAGCACGCTTCAACAAGCCTATTTTAAAATCCTTAAAATTAATAATCTATGGATTATCATTTTTGATATACCTGTTCTATATAACTAAGGAGCGCTTCTTTGTTCTCCTGCCAGTATTCTGGCAGTTCGCTTGCATTAGGAAACTTCTGACAACCGAGTTCAAGCGTAATATCAAAGCAGTTAGAGTGCACGTAATTGTAATCTTGCATTCCTCCCGATACGCTAAACCACTTGGCACCATTTGTAATTCCATCTATAAAATGCTCCCGCGGAATCTCTTTGCATTTCCAAGGTGCGTTTGCTAAATGCATTGTGGGATGTGCCTCTGAGTACGCACGCGCAATCTGTCTGAATACGTCATCATCAGGCGTGGCGCTGTACACGCTCTGTCCCGAGGGATTATCATCATACGGGTAATTGGCCACGAGAGCCCCACTATGCAAACTGGCTGACAGCACAAAAGGAATAGAATTGATCCATTTCATGACAGCGCGGGTTTCCGGTTGGGGTGGCCCGTTGGTGCTTGGAAAAAACTGATCTGGAAAATTACGATTCAAGTCGATACCGTTAGCATTAGGTCGGCTTGATTTCCAGCTGTCTTCCCCATCAGCGAATGTGGCAGCCATCTCGTATCCGTCAGGATTCATACTCGGCATAATGTGGATTCTAGTCGTGTCCACAATGTTAGTGACTCTCTCGTTGACTTCGTAGTTTTTGCAAAGATACCTAATTAAATGAAGAAGCATCTCTCTTCCTACTGCTTCATCCCCGTGCATGTTAGCGACGTATTTAAATTCTGGCTCCCCTGGCTCGTGCTTCCCTGGGTTATTGGAGATTTCCATGACCCACAATTTGCGGTTCTGCACTGAAGTACCAATGTCATACAAACGAGCTATTTTGCTATATTTTCTGGAATACTCCTTCAAAAGCCATGTCATTTCTTCATAATTATGATGCCTAAAGCTCGAATTCTTCTCAGGTATTTCAGTTTTAGAGTCTTTTTCTAACTCCCTCAGCGTGCTTTTAGTATCTTCTTGGCTGTGGTCTTTCAGTTCTTCTTTGGCGATTGCGAGTTTATGTTTTATATCCTTGATGGTTGCAAAACTCCCTTTCTTTCCATTATTCGTGTTTGGTTCAGTATCATGTTTGTTTTCCTTTTCGAATGATATTTTTTTAGCTCCTTTGTCGGGTGGCTTTGCAGAAGAAGATAGCACCAGGCTGTGAAGGATCATAAACAGTACGAACAACTTTGCACGAAGCATGGTTGAAGTGCTCACAGGACTGATCACAGTTGGAAATGTCTGTTCTTTTGTTACACAATATGAATTTAGAGCTCGTATGTTTCTTCTGACATCACCACAGGAGTGGTTGACCGCTCACCACACCTTACAAAGATTTAGTTATGATCTCTACATCTCTCATCGCATCACGGCTATAAACCATTTGTAAATGATCCTTTATCGTGTTTCATTTCAACAGCTCACAAACAAAACTGCAGTTGCATTAATACTCATTCGACATGTCAGAAAACTGAAAGACCGCGAAGTCTCAATTAAAATTTAAAGTTTGTCCTCTTGCTGGAACACTTAGATTTAAAGAGTAAAACAGAGTTTTGGCGATCGATTTGTAAAATCCAATTAACAGACCACCTGCTGAGAGATGACAGGTGCAACAATCTACCTGCTCCGAATCTTTTAGCGCAAAAATCGTCTGAATAAATATTTTTATAAGTACATTTGTATTTGAACTTTTTAATCAAAAGCCAGAAAGTAAAGAGCACTTCAAAAATTCTAATATTCAGCGGGTAACCTTGTGAAGTAATTTTGTTGTTGACCTTATTAAAATTAACTTCAGATCGATGCAGTTTACATGATTTGTTGATATCTGAAAATATTTTACAAATCTGCCAAAATATGGATTTTAGAACATAATTTTTTCCCACGAGGAAAAGAAACGAGATGCTTAGAAGAATATTAACCCAAACAAAGATGAGAAAACCCCGTAAATTGCTAAGACAAGCATGTGTTTTCTACTACACCACACCCATTTCAAGAATAAGATCTAAATAAAGAGAGTGAATAAAGTTCTGTGGAGGAATGTCAGATTATGGACAAGTGATCTAATTCGCATTTTGGACTGATTGAATTTCACAGCGGAAGACATTTGACGGTTTGCGATACTAAAGATTTTTCTGCTTTTATATATTTGCTGTTTAGCCGTCCTACGAGACGCTAAAAATGCATCTTATATCGACGTTTGTGATTTTTTTTTTAATTCTGAGTTTTCATCTTGGAAACTGCAACCCGTTTCTAAGGAAAGTTCTTGATATGTTCCACGGTGGCAAACAAAAATTTCAGGCAAACGACGAGGCAAGGAAAAGCGTTGATATTCTGGATGTAAATGAATTTAAACACCACGATTACGAGGAATTGACCTGGTTTTTAAAGTACTTTGCTAAAAAGTACCCAGACATTACAAGATTGTATTCTATTGGATACAGCGTGCAGAACCGTAAGCTATGGGTGATGGAGATATCAGACAATCCCGGAAAACACGAAGCTGGCGAAGCGGAAGTAAAATATATCGGAAACATTCACGGTAATGAAGCCTTGGGCCGAGAACTTTTATTACAGCTGATAAAATACTTTTGCGAAAACTATGAAAATGACCCAGAAATCAAGAATCTTGTGCAGCAGACAAGAATACACATTTTGCCGAGCATGAACCCGGATGGTTACGAATTGGCAGCTGTTCGTGGTAAGGGGAACAAACTGGTTGGAAAGAGAAACGCTTTGCGAGTCGATTTAAATCGTAATTTTCCGGACCAATTTTTCCCCAGTACTACTGGTCCACCACAGCCCGAGGTCAGGGCTGTAATGGACTGGATTAAGGAGTACCCGTTTGTATTATCGGCCAGTCTGCATAGCGGAGCTTTAGTTGCGCTCTATCCTTATGACGATTCACCATCAGGACAGAGTCAGTACAGCGCTACACCGGATGACGATGTTTTCAGACGTTTAGCAAAGACATATTCACAGGTACCTTATGTTTAATTTAATTCCTAACGGTACCAATTTGAGGAAGATGTCTAGATAACTCGACCGTTAGGGTAAATCTTACATATCTTACAAATCCTTCTAGTTGCTGCTACAAGAAAATGTATGCAGACCTTTGAGGAAAATTTATGAAAGAAAGAATTAAGTGTTATTTCCCTGAAAGTTTGAATTTTATCACTTGAGCTTTTAGCATTTACTATTTGAGTTTGTTATTCCTTTCTGTGAATTTAGCGTTAAGTATCATTTTACATATTGATGAATTTCAACTGTCGGTGACCAGTTTGGGGAAGGTCATATCACCCTTTTTTCACTCTTTACAATCTAGCATCAATATACATATTCTCCATACTGCTCTCTATATATTTGCTGTGGTATTGACATGGAGAATTTATATGAAAATGAAGAGCTGCTTAAGTAAGCGATCATTTCCTTTATTCTCATGACCTTACTGTTTGATTTAGCAGTGACAATGTAAGGAGATATAGAGTGTTGGTCAATGTTAGGAGTTGAAGGGTTTAAGTCAAAAACTGATTCGCTGCTTTGTTTTCTACCCAAGGCGCATCCCGTGATGCATCTGGCAAATCCTAAATGGAACTGTACGGATCAAAAGGAAGAACATTTCATAGACGGCATCACGAATGGTGCCAGCTGGTCGAGTTTGTCAGGAGGCATGCAGGATTACAACTACGTTCACTCGAACTGCTTTGAAATAACACTGGAGCTTGGCTGCGATCGATTTCCTAAAGGTACTGAGCTGGAAAAGTACTGGCATGATAACAAGAAGGCTTTGGTGGAGTTGACTCAGCAGGTATGAGACTTTCTCCTATTTTGTTGAAATGTCATTGTGATGCAGATTCTCTGTCTTCGAGACCGGTCATTGTATTCTGATGACCTCC